CACCTCAGCCTCCCAAAGGCGCGGGATTACAGGCTGAGCCACCGAGCCCGGCTGGACAGATAATTTTTAAATGGCTCTGGGCACAATTAAGTGCTTCTGGTATTGGAAGTACCCGAAAAGTGCACAGAGGGTCCCTCCATGTTGCCCCACTTCTGCTTCTGTCCTGACCACCATGCCCAGCTTTCCTGAGAGAATGATCCTGCACCTGTCATTGTTCCTTTCAAGCTCTGTGTTTATCTCTGTGACTTAAGTTCCCACTGTTGTCAATAGTAGAGTTGTCAGTTGATAACAGTATCTACTTCCTTTTTTTTTTTTTTTTTTTTGAGTTGGAATCTCACTCTGTCGCCCACACTGGAGTGCAGTGGCCGCTCCCGGCCACCGCAGCCTCGACCTGCTGGGCTCCAGTGATCCTTCCACCTCAGCCTTCCAAGTAGCTGGAACTACAGGCGCGCGCTACCATCGCTGGCTGATTTTTTGATTTATTGTAGAGATGAGGTCTCGCCAAGTTGGCCGGGCGGGTCTCGAACCCGTGGGCTCAGGCAATCCACTCACCTCAGCCTCCCACGGCGTGGATTACAGGCTGATCCACCGAGCTCGGCTCAGTATCTACTTCTTAAGGTCAATGTGAAGATTCAGTGATCTAATGCAGTTTCAGGGACATGAGCAGGTTCCTGCAGTCAAACCAGAGTAGAAAATAAAAGGGTTGCATGTTGGTAAGGATCATTGGTTTTCAAAACACAGGGAAGAGGCTCGAGCCAATGTGGAAAATTTTGACTAAATTAAATTTCTGTATTGTGGCTTTGAGTCACATATAAAATTCATTCCAAACATCAAAATGCACAATGAGTCTTCCCACAGAAGAAAGAGGATGTTATCATGCACTGATTCTCACGTATAGACTAGCACCTGGGCTAGAAACTTCCTTTCTTAGTCTCATAGCCTCAGGATGTGGCAAGTCATTGAAGCAAGGGAGTCACAATCTGGGCCCATAAAACCAGATGAAGCATGACTGGACGATACAGGATTTGAACTCAAGACTCTGGATTAGCCGGCGTGGTGGCTCACGACTATAATCCCAGCATTTTGGGAGGCCGAGGTGAGAGGATTGCCTGAGCCCACAGGTTCGAGACCAGCCTGGGCAAATTGGCAAGACCTCATCTCTACAATATATCAAAAAATTAGCCAGGCATGGTGTTACATGCCTGTAGTTCCAGCTACTTGGAAGGCTGAAGTGGAAGAATCGTCTGAGCCCAGTAGGATAAGGCTGCAGTGACCGTGAGCATGCCACTGCACCCCAGCCTGGGCGACAGAATGAGACTCCAACTCACAAAAAAAAAACCTCTGGATTTATAAGGTGGGAGGGCCACAGAATAAGGAGCAGCAAACACAACTGGTCACAGATCTCTGAATTTACTTCCTCCTCACCCCAAGCATTCAAGTTAAATTTTAATCTACTCTTAATGTTTATATGGTAGAAAACATCCGATTTGTGCCAAAAGATAGCTTATCCATTTACCCAATTTGAATACTGACTATATTTGGAAAGTTGATTGGTGAAATCTGCTTGCCTGCTAAGGGCAGTTGGTTTCTACCAGTGGCTTCTATTTTCTATCATTAACACATTGATGTTATTCTGTCTGGCAGTGATAGGAAACAAACTTTGGCTTTTATCTTCCTGCAGTAGAAGTTTCTTTCAAGAATCAGTTGCTAGGAAACATATCAAATTTAATCAAGCATTGCCAATGGACTGCAGTCGTCTAGAAACAGCCTAGAGAAATTTCCAGTTATGTGAACCTAACAGTAAATTAGATCTTAGTCTACTATGTACCTACTGTTTCAGTCCTTTTGTGCAACTATTACACTGAGTAATTTATAAAAAACAGAAATGTATTTCTTACAGTTCGGGAGGTTGCGGAGTCCAAGGTCAAGGCTCCAGTAGATTCTGTGACTTGTGAGGGCTGCTTTCTGCTTCGAAGATGGTACCTTGTTGCTGCATCCTCACATGGTGGAAAGGACATAAGGTCAAAAGGAGCCTAGCTAGTTCCCTTAAAGTTCTT